AGAGCAACATCACCTCATAACAAAGTTGTTACGTCGTTGTGTTTGTGTCTCAGGTGTCCGACCCCCGGGTGTGATGGATCTGGACACATCACTGGAAACTACGCCTCCCACAGGAGGTACAGAAACTACACCTTTAAAAAAAAAAACCACGGCAGTTGCACATGAGACACACACACGACGTCACCGTACGAGTCTTTTTAAACGCGTCCTCTTGTCCTGCAGTCTGTCGGGTTGTCCACGAGCCAAGAAGAGCGGCATCAAAATCGTCCACAGCAAAGAGGACAAGGACGACCAGGAGCCAATCAAGTAAGGTTCCTGTTTTCACTGTGAACCAACAGAACCATGGTTCAGTTTGATCCAGACCCAGAACTCCTCTTCTGGTCTGAGGAACCTTTCGCACCTGATGTTCTGTAGTGTGAAAAAAATGAATTTGAAGTTTGTCCATAATTCAGTTTTCTGAACAGAAGATTTTTCTAGAAGCACTCTGCAGCTGTTTGTCAGGCTGGTGACAGATTCGTCCGTCTACTCGCTCTTAAAATGCCGGATGCGTTCGCTGACCTTTCTAACTTTAGGGAAGAATATTTTAGAGGAGTTATGGTCAGTCCTTCACTTCACCTCCCTGCTCCCCACAGGCCAAGACCTGCAAAGGTTAGAACTAAGTGAGCGTTTGACATTTGCGTTAAAGCGAGGCCATAATGTTAAACCAATACGACCTTGTGAGTAATCTAAAGTTCAGCTGGTGTCAGTCTGCAGCCAGCTGTTACCGCCACCTCCGGTCCGTCCCCTATCATCATTAACAGTGGAATCATAATTAAGCTTAACCTGAGCCACCCGTCGACGCTCGGCTCATTCTAATCAGCACAAATGTCACTGCGGAGGGCGTCTGGGATGCAGGAGGCAGAGGCGAGTGTCTGGAAGCTGAGCTGGTGTCACCTGCAGGGCGGGCGTCTATCCCGCTCATCGCTAATGCTGCTGTGGACCGGAGGCTTCGGGAGGGGGAAGGGGGAGGATGGTAGGTCCTCCTCCATCAGAAGTGTCCCAAACAGAGCCTCGCTTTTCATCAGATCGTTCCCAAGGCTGTAAATAAAGATGGACGACACGTCTTCACCTCCGCCAGTTGTACAAGAAGGAAGCTGGAATATTTCAGATGCAAACGCCGCCATCTTGCACTTGTGACGTGGTTTGTGGAGCCACAGTCTTTAGTGATTGTGGTGTGGAGCTGCGATATCCAAATCCCACCAATACGCCACCCAACCAATCCAGCCAGCCACTAGGGGGGGTCATGATATTTTGGCTTCATTTTGGGGGAGCTGTCCTGTCGTCCATCTTTATTTACAGACCCTATATTCCCTTTGACATCATCTTGGAGAAGCTTCTGCACAAAGCAACTTGTAGTAACTTAATTAAGTAACTTTAACATTAAAGTAACTTAATCTTGAGTGTATCTTTAATAATTAGCTGATGGTCCAATCAGAGAGCTAGCTCGACAAACTTAAAGCAGACGACGCCTCTGCGTTTGTCCCACCCCTCAGGTGTCCGGTCCCGGGCTGTGACGGACAGGGTCACGTGACGGGGAAGTACGCCTCTCACCGCAGTGCGTCAGGCTGCCCCCTGGCGGCAAAGAGGCAGAAGGACAGCTACGTGAACGGCTCACAGTTTGTCTGGAAGTCTGGAAAGACGGACGGTATGTCCTGCCCGACCCCGGGGTGCGACGGCTCGGGACACGTCAGCGGGAGCTTCCTGACACATCGGAGGTGGGCTTCCCATTTCAGGTTTTTACAATTGAATCATTTTTATAAATCTATTAGAAATGATTAACTCCTCCTCTGAACCAGTTTTCACAAATATTTTAACCTTTTATCCCAGTTTCCAGTTTTTATTGGAAAACAATTAGCGTGAGACTTCAGACTGCAGACACGTCATCCTTCACAGACAACATTTAATCGATGTGCGTGTTTGTTTTATTCCAGCCTCTCCGGTTGTCCTCGAGCCACCTCGGCCATGAAGAAGGCCAGGATGAGCGGCGTGGAGATGCTGACAATCAAACAAAGAGCAAGCAAAGGTCAGAGCCGAAAAACCCTTGAAACCAAATGACTGAAACTGAGTCCGAAAAATCTCATTTACACTCAAACAAATGTAAAAAGTTCCAGAACAATTCACGTGTTACCTCATGAGTTCCACTGTTAGTGGTCAGTTATACTGAGATGAAGGGGAATCACCTCAAGAAGATCATTTGTGTGAAAATCGTTCCAGGCATCGAAAACGATGAGGAAATCAAACAGCTGGATGAAGAAATCAAAGATCTGAACGAGTCCAACAATCAAGTGGAGTCCGACATGATAAAACTGAGGACGCAAGTAAGACGACTCCTGTGTGTGTTTACTTGAAGCATGAATACAAATACACAGGCAGACTCACAATGAATCTCACTTCCTGGTAGATCACCACCATGGAGACCAGCCTGAAGTCCATGGAGGAGGAGAACAAGGTGATCGAGCAGCAGAACGACTCGCTGCTGCACGAGCTCGCCAACCTCAGCCAGTCGCTCATCAACAGCTTAGCCAACATCCAGCTGCCACAAATGGTGAGAAAGGATCGACGGAAACAACCCGAGGGAGATTCAGATAGAACACACACACGTAAACGGATTTAGACGGAAGGTAGAAGTTTTACGTTCAGATGGAACTGGTGCAGTTTTATTTTGGTTGGTGAACTTTTGAAGCGTTGACGTAAATCTTGTTCGACCTGAGTTTAAATTAATAAATACACAAGAAGTGA